TCTTTATAAGTTTGTAACTGACATTGGGAGTTTTTAATGTTTTGACAAAAACAGTAAAAGGTCACAAACAATCATGATTTTTCCCATCAACTGTTATAATTGCATTGTACATTTTTTAACAATTGATAATCAATTTATTGAAATAGTTGATATAAAGTATCTGTAATGGTGACTTCAACCGCTCGGTACAAATGTAGTAATCTGCTTAATCTCTGAAGAACTGTGCAAGTCATGGAGTCATTTGTGGATCCTCATCTGGAACTGACTTGGGAAAATCTTAGAACCCTCACCACAAGGAGTTTTTTTCTCTTAGTGGTTCTCAGAGTCTTGGTAGGCATCCAAACTGGCCCTTTCACTTTGAGATTCTTTTCTTTCATGGCTCTGTTCAAGTCAGCACATACCTTCTCCAGGGATTTTACATCGTGGCTGGTTTTAATTCTCATTCAGTGAATAGACACCTCTGATTTATGGGTGTCTTTCCAGTCTGTAAGCCGTGGCTATAGCATGGCTTCCTGATGGATTTGCTCCTAGATAAGAGTGAACTGCAGTGGGCAGAAGCAGGCAGACCCTACCTGTGCTGTGGCTGCCAATGCATCTGCCTCAAAGAGATGGCCTGGCATTTTTACAATCTCATCACTACTATAAAAAGAGAGGGCTGTCTCTTTTTGTTCCCTAAAATTCTTACATAGAATTGCTTTTCTGGAAATTCACACTAGTTTATCTGCATTCTCAAGTGTGAGGAGCTCAAGACTGCATAGAGATGAATGTTTCACTTTATGGTCCCCCAAAGATAGAATCTTTTTCATACTAGAATATTCCATGGGCCTTAAAGTCTGTTATTTCACATGTAAATACGATAAATGAGTTCTTGTTTCTACCAAGTTTTGGAAAGAGTGCTTTGTAGAACTTGGATGTGAGGTTCAGCTAACAAAATTTGACTCAGTGTTTGTCACTTGTAGAAAATATTATTAAAAACAAAGACTTTAAAGTGTAAGCTTAAATAGCTGATGTTTTACTGTCTTTTAATTGAAACAAGGGTATTATGTGTGTGGTCTAGCTTTCAAAGGGTCAGTTTACACTTCATGCTAACTTTTAAAAACATTAATAATTACTAATGATAAAGCTAACATTTATGAAACACTGCTGGCACAAATCTAAACACTTTAAATACATGTAAATATATACATTCTCCTTTGATTATACTGAAATTGGCTTATATATTTGCATAAACTAACTGGGTACTATATTCTAAGAGAAACTCATTTATTTAATGATTTTACTTTTCAGCAGGTTTCAGTAATTTAACTCATCGAATGTCTTGTTAAGATAATATTTCTTGAGATTTAAGTCAGAAAATGTGAAGCTTGTCAGAGACTCTGAATTTTTTATGTCAATGTTGGGTTAGTCATTCAGATCTCATTGTCTTTTATATAAACTATAGTTGGACTTGGATCTAAAGACATTTGTGAAGGAAAACAGTGAGGCTCTTAAACAGGTGTTGTGTATAGTGATCAAATTTTCCAGGTTTTCCAAGTTCAACTTAATATCACAGGTTTTTTTTTTCACTAAACAGAATTCTTTATATGTAAAACTAATTGGGATAAAATTCTTATTCCTTAGTAAGGTATACGTTACCAAAAAAAAAAAAAGTTTTAGACTTATAGTTATCCAACTTATTCCTTGTGGTCAGGGCATATGGTCTTTGTAACTACCCTGGATGTGTGGACTAACCTTTTGGTATTTCTTCATGTTTGAATGAGAACCTACACAATGCTTTATTTGTTTTGTTTTGCCTATATTTAGTTTTATACCCTGCTCTGTTCTTTAAAAACGATTTGAGATGCCCTCTACCTTAATTGTTATTTACTTTTTGTTCCTTCATATGAACCTGTGTTGAAGTATATATAGTTTGTTTAACTATATATTTCAGCAGAAGTTTTTCTTTAAATGTATGGGGTTGGTCTGTGTAGCCAGTTTCTGTCATTTTTGTTAGTAAATGCTCCACTGGGTAATATTTTCACTATAAACAATACATGGAACAAATTATAAACCATGTTTGAAGAAAAGAACATGCTCCCAGACCCACTTGTGGTCTACTGTAGACCAGCTCATTCTGAGTTGGCATTCTTCCTGTCATTAGTTCCTACCATAGGCCTGCCACCACTGCTTATTCATAAGGCAGAGGAGGTCACCTTATTAATGAATGGAATTTTTCACATATTATCAGTTCATATTGTCACTCATGCCTCTTTTTAAATATATTTTTTACTTTGAGCCTCATTATCTAAAAGACAGATTTTCTCTACCCTTTTCCATTAAATGGCTTTTAAGAGGCTATATCTCCAGGCCTAGTACAGTGATAGCTTGTGTTCAAGCCAGAGAATAGCAAAACCCACATGTGTACATGCTACTCATAGGTGGCATCTTTCCCAGGATCGTGCTGATCCTCAGCTGCTTTTCTTTTGAAACATTTCTATTCATTAGAGTATTTTCAGATGAAAACAGATATACAACTCTTGACCTATTTCTATTGAATATACGTTTTGACTACTGTGAAATAGAACTCTTCAGATTCTAGTATTTCTGTTGTATCCTTTGTTACTAATAACTTATTACCTCTCTTTCATTGTTTTCTTTATTGTTGCTTATTAACTGTGACACAAGTATGCTAGAGACTGGTCAGTTGTCCATCATAGTAGCTAAGGGCATGCAATTTATAGCCAGAAAGTCTTTGATTTGAATATTGACTTCAACAGCAACTCACTTGGTAACCATAAGCATGTTTTGCAACCTTGCTGCACTAGGTCACTCATCTAGAAAATGAAGAAAATGCTTGTACCTGCATTAAATGAGACAATACATGTAATGTGCTTAGCCCCGAGCCTAACCCTAGATGCACTTAATAATTGTAGCCAATGTGCTCAATATTTTTATCAACATTTACTGAGTTCCTACTCTGTGCCAGGTGTTTTTCTGGGTGTTGGAGATATAAAGATGAAAAAGATATAGTCCCTGTCATCAGGACACTCATAGTCTAGTTGGTATGGACATGGTACTGACATGGTACCAGAACTATTAACCTTGTCTACTTTTGTGGGTGTCAAGAGACATTTCCTTTCCACTTGAGAACCTTCATATCATGAACATAGATTACTTTTATAACAAAAATCAATGACAGTTACAATACTGTGTACTTGATGCTGTATTTCAGATACATATACATTGCTATAAGAACAGAGAAGCTGAGGGGGGAAACTCTTATTGGAAAACCCTTGCAACTTAGCCTTTCATCTTTATCATATTTTTCCCAAAGTTTGCTGAAGTACATATCTTTTCAGGAAGCCTGACCGAAATAATGTGGTAATCAGCTGATATGTAGGCTAAAGACTTCATGAAATGGTAGCTGTCTCTATGTGTAACTCTCTCTCTCTCTGAAACAGCTGTTTTGGCCTCCCAAGATTTTGCATTTTATAAGAGTACCGCTGTTCTTGAGCGGCATTATGCAGGTTGAGGGTCGGACAACTTCGAAACATAATGGGAGACCTTTTGATATGAAAGTAAAAGTTGCCTGGTTCATTTCTACACAAGATCATGAGGCAACCCTCACATAAATGAAGTCTAGCTTGAAATGGGGCCTAGAGCTTCATGAACTCAAGAAGGGAGACTTCGGAACCCTCCTGGAGGTTTGATCAGCCTCTCTTTCCCCAACCCTAAACAATTAGAAACTCTTTGAGAAGGCTGGAACCTGTCTGCATAGTCCAGTTTCCTGTAGCTCTGCCATCTACTATAGGGTTTGGAATCCCTGGTTGTGAATCCCTGCATCCACCATCTGATTTAAAGTATGGAATCCCTGGCTTGTTTTCAAGTTAATTGTCAGCTGAGACCTAACCTTAGGATTTTTTACAGCTTATTACTTGCTTTCTAAGTGAATTTATGAACATTCAAGTTTGTAACTCTCTGTTATTGGCTCTAGCCCATTTAAGGAAGAAAGTCGTCCAAGAAATTAGAAATGTTCCCTAACACCAAACATTCAGTTTTCTTGTGTTACCAAACTAAAGCAAAATTGTATATAATTTTTTTTCTTATCTGTTTTCTTAGCTTTCAAAATAGTTTGTGTATAAAATGAAAAATGAACAGACTTATTGCCATCATTTAGTTGTGCTGAATTGTTTGGCTGTAACTTTAGTGGTGATGGAGACCAGATTTGTGAGCTGTAGGATCTGTTCTGTTTGGATCTGACAGCTGGCTACATTAAATATCTTGGAGCTTTTTACTTTGCATGAGGATGAGAGGTTGGGAGGGTAGGAACAGCAGTGGAAGAAAGCAATCCACTTTATTTAATGTACTGCATTTGTTTACTGATTCCAGTAATAATGTTGCGCAGTTGCCTTTTAATTTCCTTTTGTTTACTGTTTAGATTTATTAACCCTGTTTTATAATACCTGCTTACTGTCTGCTCTTTAACTAGCTTTCCTTCTTTTTTAAATATACTTTAATATGTACCAATCTCTTTTGGTCTAGGCATGCCTTGATGATTTAACATGTTAATTTAATAAAAAAATATTTTTAATTCTGTAGTCATACTGAAGGTGGTGTATTCTTTCTTATTGTCCCTTAGCTGTATTATTTTGGTTAAATATTTTATAATTTGGTAAGTAGGTTACCTTTGAAATTAAGTCAGAATCTTCATCATGTCAAGCCACCATTTATGGTAACTTACAAAGTCTGCCAAACAGGAGCTTAGTCTGCATATTCCAGAATAGATTTAAAAAATAAAAAGACTAATTGTAAAGTATGTGAATTTTGTTTTATCTACTTTCTATGACCAGACTGGATATGTGGAAGGTACATACACACTAATAAAACACACACACCGAGTAAAAAGTTAAATTGTATTTGTCAGTCTTCTTATTTAGCCTACTCAGTTATACTGACTATAAATTTATTCAGTATTGTGGGAATTTTATTATCTATGAAGAATAATTATATTTTCTCTACAGGTGAGGGATTTATCCATTGCTTATATGCTGGTGACATTAACTTATCTCTATATTGGAGTCCTGGTTTTTGCTTCATTTCCTTCACCACCATTATCCAAAGACTGTATAGAGCAGGTAAGGCACTGTATACCCTCTCTGTAATTGTTCACACCTTCATATCTGCAGAGCAGACAGCCTCATACACTAGCAATGTGTGATACCAGATAGGCCTGGATTTGAACACCTCTCTACTGTTTACTGTACATGTGGGAATTTAGGCACCTGCCCCAGCCTTTCTGAGCTTCAGATTCCTCTTGCATTAAATAGTATAATACAAGTGACCATAGATTTTTAGATGGACTCTTAAGAAAACATGCTGCGCGCTGGCACCTTATGGTGCTCAAATAAATGGTTCCTGTTACGTGCATAGAATTTCTCTTTGTGTGAAAACTGTGACTAGTGGTAGTCATGAATTTATAAAACCTCCATTGAGAATACATTCAACTCCCTTATATAAAGCCCAGATCTGGAAATCTTGTGGGTAAACTTGTGTCTCAGTGCATAAGTCCCTAATGAAAGGTTTGACATTCATTTTTGTACTGTGTGGCAGACAGTAAAACAAAGAAAGACTTTTTGGCCATTAAAAAGAGAGACAGAAAAAAATGTTTTTAATTATTTTACTTTTAAAAGGCTGTCCTAAATAATATTTTCTTTGATTTGACCCAGCATAAATTTAGGAATAGTATAGTCTCTAGTTTAATGTAACTGAAGAGTTTCTCACAGAAAATAGCATTTTGCAGGTGACTTTCTTTCTAGCCAGAAGAAATTCCTCTCTAGAGTGTAGTGGAATATTTAATGTGGTTTATTGTGGATGAATTGTAAAGGTTATTTCAGAATAATAGTGTTAATGTTCTCATCTTTTTAAGAGAAATAGATTTGAGCTCCTGCTGTTATGATAGCTTGAAATGTTCTTCTCTTGATTTCCTTGATTCCAGAAGTTCTTTGGCAACCAAATGTTTGCTGAAAATTCCCCTGATGTGAACAATCCCATATAAAGCCCACTCCCTTGGGTGTAGGAGTATCTGTGGTATTTTCATTTGAAAGGAAAAAATCTGAGTGATTTTGTTTTTAGGTATCAAACTCAAATGGAGAATAGAATCACGAAAGGAAATAGAAATAAATCTTTTTCTATTTAGTGATAGACTTTAAATAATAATGATTCTGGGTGATAGATATACTCACCTTGTTCTATAATCTTTACTTTGCAAGTGCTACAATGCCTCAGAGGAGGAAAAGCAAAAGAACTAGTGAGGATGAAATAACATTGAATTAAATTAGCCATTTAAGTATGTTAAACCAATTTATGCTTGAACCTTACAGAGCAGTGTTTCTCAAACTATCTGTGGTGAAGGACAAGTCTTCTTTGTTGTTTTAATATGATCCAATAATTGCAGACTGATACTTTTATAAAATAGAACAAAAATTTAGCAATGTTGAGTTTCTATAAAAGTTTTTAAACACCTACTTCCAATTTCTGTACTTAGCTCAATGAAGAATAATGGTTCACAAACAGTTCATGGATGGGCACCAGTCCATTAACCACAATTTGAGTGGCATATATGTTCAAAATAAGCAAAAGACATTCTATTTTATAAACTTTTATATACTGCATTTTATTTTTAACATTACTTCATTATCTTTCTTGGATCAGAATTTTTTAGATAACTTCCCTAGCAGTGACATCCTGTCCTTCATTGCAAGGATATTCCTGCTGTTCCAGATGATGACTGTGTACCCACTCCTAGGCTACTTGGCTCGTGTCCAGCTACTGGGCCATGTCTTCGGTGACATTTATCCTAGGTAAGGGCTCTTCTCTTGACCAGCAAGATGTGCCAAACAACAAATGACTATGCAAACAGGTCAGTTTAAAATGTAACTAATCCTTTTGCTATAAAAATTTGCCTAATAAAAACTGGTTACTAAGGGTAGATCATTGGTGTTCTTATCTCTGAAGAGCTTTAAAAATAGAAGCCACTCCCTTGTCCAGAATAATTTGAAGTTAATTCCTTCCAGTATAATTCTGTTAGCTCTGATACCAGTTATATTTATCTCATGATTTAGCTGCTATTAATCTACACACTGCCAAGATTCTATAGTACCTGTGTTAGCCATTTATAGCTAAGCAATGCTTCTATTTTAATTTTTGGTTACTGATGTTTACTTTTATATTTATTAGCATTCATGCATTTTTACATAAATGATAGTTTAGAATTTAAGGTGAGACACATAACAAATTTAAGTTATTATTTACATCTGTAACTACTACTGCAATTTTTAATCTCTCACTAGTGATGGAGGAGTTTTGAGTCCTTTTGAAAATCTGTTCAAAGCTCATCACCCTCATTCAAGTGAAATTTCCATATACTGCTTCAGGATTTCCCTGAAATTTCCTTGTGGATCCCTCATTACCTCCTACTCTTACCCTAAGTTTTATTATAGATCTATATTACAAAAGCACCTAGTCCTAACCTATTTTATTGGGAGTAAATGACTTTAAATGAAGAAAACCTTTGGATAAAATTTGAAAAAATTACAATTTATAGTAGCCAACTCAACAAATGGTCTTAATCAGATGTTGTTTGAAATGAACTGGTGCAGTCTTGTCCCCTCTTAAATAATTAGTTATAAATGCATTGGTTTAAAAATAAAAAACTTTTAAAAGCAGAAGTCAAGTGTTACCATGATCTCTCACATTCACAACAGTAGCAGCTACTGCAGTTCTAATGTTGCTCATCTAAAAGATCGGCTTTCAGTAAATATGATTCCTGTTGTGTTTATACCCTGTGCTGTATTTACATTCACCAAAATAAAATAAGTACAATGAAGTCATAAGTTTAAAAAAATCCCTGTAGGTAAATGAATTATTCCTGTTTTCTGCTGTTAGTTTGCATAATGTTGGCTATTAGAATGTTTTCTTCTTGGAAGAAGTCTGGAATTTCCCTTTTGGGTTCACACTGCATTTCTTCCCCTACCACTGGAACACATATCATTTACCTTACAGTTACAAGAACTCTACAGACTGCATACTTTGGAGCATACTTCTTGGTCTTGGGATCCCTTTAAGTTAATTGGACCCCCAGGAATTTTAGTTTATGTGGGGTATACTTCAATATTTAACATATAATTAAAACAATTTTGTAAATATTTATGAATTTCTTTAAAAAGCAATAATAAAACCATATTTATGAAAAATATTTCCAGAAAAATGTGTTTTATATTCAAAACTCTTTAATGTCTCATTCACTTGTATATAATTGGATTCTCCCATCTCCTCTTGCATTCAATCTGTTATGTTACTTTCATTTAAATATATATGAAGAAAATCTACCCCCCCCACATAGCCACCCAGTGGGAAAAAGAAGGAATCTTTTTAACAGCCATTTCAGAAAATTTTGGATATTCTTCTTTAATACTATGCCAAACCTTGACAAATGGTAGATTCTTAAAAATTAGTTAAATCTGACATACAATTATATTAAAACCCATTGGCTGTCTTACACTTCGGCTCTTTCAACTATGCATGGTTAGTCATTTGGAAAATATTCGTTCACTGAGATCTGCAGATCTTCTAAGTGCTGACGTACTTCATTATATATCAAAACCCACATTCATTATTATCAACACTGATTTCATTATAAAAGTCTTTAAATATTGGAAAGCTGTTAAGCTCAGGGTGGCAAAAACAAGCTCTTGAAAATTCTAATTTTACTGGAAAGCTCACATTTTATCATTGGCAACACATGCTACCAGTTGTTTTCCTTGAAATGACAAGCTCATATCATTCATTTTCAAGAAAATGTCTGTCAAAGACCCAAATCTGAAGAACCATAGACTGCATGCCTTTCAAGTAAAATTAGCATTTCTTAGAAAAAAAAAGGCTGAGTTGCTCTCCAGCTCAGTTGCACAAGTGCTTTTCCTCAAGACAACTATTCGGCTTCATTATACAGCACATGTGCTTTATTATGTATTTCCTGTTTGATCACACAGAATATTAAAAAGATGTGTGTTCAAAGCATGAGATTTAATAAAACTAGTAATTTTTACTCCTTTATCAAAGACAGTTTTTAATAAAACTTATTTTTTAGAGTGTTTGGCAAGAAAGAATACAGTGTAGAATACATATTTATCTGTATGCTACAACAGCCTCTATCCATGCTAAGGGGCCAGCAGTTTTACCCACCATGGCTTTGGCAAAGCAAGTAATGTCTTATATGATTTAAAAATCATTTTTACCTCAGGAACTTCCTGAACGGGTATTGGGAACACCCTGGGGTTCATGGTTACACTTTGAGAATGACTGCTTTGGAAAATCATAATACAAAGTTGTTTCCTTTTACAATACAGAAATAACAAAGGCCCAGCCAATGTCTCAAAGCTCTGAAGCAATTTTAAGTTTGGAGTTTCTGGGTAAATAGTAAGATCTGGAAGCCTGAATATCTTTGTAATCCATCAAGATATATGACTAACCACTTATTTGTACAAATAATTTTTTTATTTTTCATTCTCTCTATAATCTTTATCTAGGATTAATTAACCTCTGATAACTTGGGCTCAAAAGGGTGCTTTGATGTGTAAATTTGGCTTTTAAGATCATTTTTGGGGGAGAAATGCAGTTACTTCTTAGGAGCATCAAATCTCAATCTCACCTTCATTATTTTTATTTGTACCCAAAATTGATTCTCGAACGTTAAATTGTTAACATCTAGTTCAAGTATTTAATAGATATTCTATTCATGGTAAGTATTTAATAGCTTTACGTGGCTGAACCCGAAAAATAAAAACCTGCCCATTTTGCCTTTCCCTTAATGTAATTTTTGTTGTTATTTATTAAAGTACTATAAACACTTTACAAAAAATATGTTAGATACAGAAAAGAGGAAAAATTACCCCAAATCACTGCTGCCTTTTAGTGTATTTCCTTCTGATATTTTTTCAAAGATTTCCAGAGTTTCTTGTGTAGTAAAAAATCAAGTTGGCATTTTTTTCAAGTTGCCTAGATAGATTTTTACCATCTAGGTAAGAATGATGTTATTTTTAATAACTTTTAATATATTCCATCAAGTAAATCATTACCTTGCTACATGTATATCTAGGATACTTCTGTTTTCCACAAATATCTTTGTGTTAATAGTTTCTTTTCATGTTTTTGATTATTTCCTTAAGATATTTAAGTGGAATTGTGGATCAGAGTATGTGAATGGATCCACACTACCAGTTTACTCCTACAAAATTTAACCTATTTACCTAGTGGCACCAAAGGGCAAGTGTCCCTGGTCCAGCAACAGCTACCCTAGCACTGCCTATTTTCATTGTGGTTTTATTGCCGTTTAAGATACTCTTATTTTAAAGATGTTAATTATGAATTTTAGTATTAAAAATTCACATTAACGCTTATAATTTGCCTGTTTTTTATTTTTTCTTTCCTCCAAACCTCTCTCTTAACTTGTAGCATTTTCCATGTGCTGATTCTTAATCTAATTATTGTGGGTGCTGGAGTGATCATGGCCTGTTTCTACCCAAACATAGGAGGAATCATAAGGTATTGCCTGTCAGGGAACTGTTCCCTCTCATATACTGGTCTTTATTTTCATGTTTTCCTTTGGTTTTTGTTGTTTTAATTTATTGTATGAAATTCTTCTGAGTATTTAAAGCTGGTAACATTCAAATGTAGTTGCCTGATAACTAGTTAAGGTGCTTATTATCTTCCATTTCTGCTTATTCTTGACTGTAGAAGCCCATTATCCCTGAGACACCTTTCCCTTTATTTTTCTTATTATTTTCCACTGTATTCCTTTCTCTTTATCCAAAACAAATGTTATTTTTAATATATAATATATAAATTCTTGGGGTACCTGAGAGTTCTCTTGTATGTCAAGGCTATGTCCTGACTTTCTTAATCCATTTCTAGTCAAGAACATATTTCAAGTCAACTATACTCAGAAAGTAACTGTTTAGATCCCAGATGGCTCTTTCCTTAATGTCCTTTCTCTAAAAACATTGTGATAGGTTGAGTAGATTGGGAATAAAATTGTGACCTCAGATTCTCATGGAAGACTTCAGTTAACCTATGAAAAGTAGGGCTGAGTCACTTTTTGAAGACCCTTACCTAGAAAAGTAGCAAAAAACAAGAGATCATTAGCCTGATGTTTATTGAATTTAATGGACTTGCAAGTTCCTATTAAGCAGTTCCAGAGAGGGTAGGAGAAGGGAGAAAAAAGTGCAGGTTTCTCTGTTTCCTGATTAGGTGTTTTTGTTATTATCTTTGGTAATTATGCTGAATGTTACCAAAGTACTCATCTGTTCTCATTCTTAAGCAGATACTAACAGTCCTTCAAAAACTCAGAATGCGTAATTAGCTTATAAAAGATCAAAGATAGAAGCCTATCTCCAGATGTTTCTGAGGAAATAGCCATACTCACTGAGGCACAGAGGAACTATGGAGATTTGAGAGATGAATAAAAAACTCTTTGTCAAGCAGATGCAATAAAGATGAACAGGAAATAATATTTTATATTAATTTAGCAAGTAAAATGTTTTAAACTCAAATGCTATATGTCAACAACAAACTAATAAAAAGTAATTTTGTTGCAGTATCAGGCTGAGGAGGGTTTAAATTGTACTGTATTTACCTTAATTGTAAATCAGAAAAAGCAAAATGCAACATATTAACCCAAAAAGCTTTTATTTTGCAGATATTCAGGAGGAGCATGTGGCCTGGCCTTCATATTCATATACCCATCGCTCATCTGTATAATTTCCCTTCACCAGGAAGAGCGGCTGACGTGGCCTAAATTAATCTGTCACATTTTCATCATCATTTTGGGCTTGGCTAACCTGATTGTTCAGTTTTTTATGTGAAATACAAAACTGTCTTCTCAAGATCTTTCATGGTATTTTGAACTTCTGACAACAATTCCACATTAATTCACTTGTAAATACTGCCGTTGTACCTCTAAATGTTTTACCAGGACAATTTGATAACAAGGGAAATAGTAGTCCATTAATAAATAATTTTGATTAGAGTGGTAAAAGGCAGTAAGAATGATCTTTTTCTCTTTACCTTTTTCATGTTGGCTCACCTCTTCATTCTTACTGTCTTTTTTGAGTTGAAATGAATGCCCTTAGGAAAAATCATGCTGGGTCTTGTTTTAGAGATATAAGGTAGGTAGGTTTATTTTGGCTACAATAAAGATTCTCAGGGTTCGCAGCAATGTATTGCCAGATCCTATTTCTCTTTTATGGTCCAGTGTATTTACTTGCATTTTGTTACTTGCTGGACCTTTTCTTCTATTTGCCCAAACCTTTACTGTTTGAAACAGTAAACTAAATACCTCATTTTAAAAAAGAAATCTTCGTAACATTAGTGTTAATGGAGTGAATTCTTAACTGAGTGCTTAATTCCATTTAAAATAAAGAAAGAAAACGACAAAGTTGTTTCAGGCCCCATGGTCATGAATTTATGCAAAATAAATGAACTTGGAGATTTTGTTGCTGTCTGGCTCCTCTTTTGCTACCAATCCAGTATGAGTGACTTAGGTCCAAATTCTAGATACCCCAGCCAGATTTTGCATTGGAACAAGTATGATTGTCCCCATAGACCCAGAAAGGCTCTTTGGCATTTTGGATCCCTGAGCATTGCATGGGATATCATGACAGGACCAATGGGAAGAAGTGTAGGAGCATGGCAGGGAGGGATATAAGAGGCCCTTCATGGGGTAAGGGAATGGAGAAGGGACCAGGAAGAGTGAGGACTCCTTCCCGACGTATTCTTGGGGTGGGGGTGGGGGTGAAAGTGGTTCTTTACCATAGGAAATGATTAATTCTGTTTCAGGTAAGACCTCCAGAAGGAGACACACACCCCCTCCTAATTTCTGTAACTATAGAGCTTAAATCCCCTTAAGAAAAACTCCTTGGATCTAAGAAAAGGATTAGGAAATCTGAATTCTTGAAATTAACACTCTCCTCTTTTTCAAACTAAAAGCTAAGCCAGAATCCAAATCTGTCTTCCATGAAATAGGACCTCCATGTTCAGATGGAAAAGTTAGATTTCTCTAATTTTAGGCTAACATTAAAAAGTGTATTTTGTACACATCCTGCATCCCAGGATGGTATGTATCTGTGTTATTTCCTATAGAGCTGTTATTTCCTTCTTTTGAGATGATGAGTAAATTGTTCTTTTAAAACCTAGTAAAGAACCCCAGATTGAAAACCAGTTGTAATTTTTTAGCAAAGCTTCCCATCCAGGCAATAGACCCCGTACCTATATTGATGAACTTTTTCTCCTAAAGCTCCTTTTTTAAAAGGCTCATTTTGAAAATTCTCAAGCATATGCAAAAGTGGAAAAAAGGTAAGATAAACCCACCATATACCCAGCCCCTAGATTTGGTAATTATAAAACTCTGCTGCATTTGCTTCACCTATTCCCTTTTACCTTTTCCAACCATAATATTTTAAAGCCAATCTTGGACTTCTTGTCATTTCATCTCTACAAACTTTAATATGCACTAATAGCCCTTAGAGTTGATATACATTATTATATTGGCTTCAGGTGTACAACATAGTGATCCGACAATTGTGTACATTACTGAATGCTCACTATAAATGTAGTTACCATCTGTCACCCCACAAAGATATTATAATATTATTGATTGTGTTCCCTATACCGTACATCATGGCTAATTATTTTATAATTGTATGTTTGTACCTCTTTATCCTCTTCACAAAGTTAGTTACATTTGTTGATAGTAACTACTAGTAGTAGAATTAGATTAATTAGAAAATTCTGCATTAGGTGTCTGGATCCCTGTGTTAACGGCTCTTAGAACATAGTAATCAAAAGCTAGGCAACTTCTTGAGAGATTTAGGCTCAATCCTTGTTTTTCCCTAGTTGTCTCCCTTGTTTTTAAAAACTTCAGAGACGGTTTTCATTGCTTCCTTTCAGTAATATACTTGAATGTTATAAAACACATGAAAAAATGATTTGATACATTTATGCCTATTTAATGATCAAAGTGAATGACAATGCATTATTTAGTCTGTTTTTTTTTAAAGACTCAATAATTCAGAACTTCCAAAATCTTGTGTTAGTCTTATTATGCTGAGTGATGTTGCCTTCTTAAGTTTGTTTTCATGAAACTGACTCCTTTAGCATGTTACTTAGCTTGTCAGGAAACTCGTTGTGTGAGTAGGTGTGTCCCAGCTCACACATTAGGATAACGAGATTCGAACCCATTCAAATCACATTACAATTAATTTTAAACTTTCTCTACTATCATCTCTTTGAATTTTCTAATTAAATTTATTTCACTTTTTCTTTCTGATGTGGTTAACCTTAGTTTCTTTGAATTTAGCTTATTTAACACACAACTGAGGATATTACAAAATTTAAAATGGCTTGTTCAGAATTCTTAGAAAGTCTCTGGATGAATATGTAGTATGCTAATACTAAGCCAGAAAGGACAAAGAAATGTCCTTTGACATTTGATCTGTGGATGATCATCCAAAATCAGTTTCACCATCATCACATCAAAAAATGCATTGCAGTAAAAAATTAATTTACCCACAAAAAGGGACTCGATTAAAGGGAACTGTTCACTTTAACATTAAGTATATTTTGCAAATACAATACTAAATATAAAGACAAGAGAGTTTTTTGGTTTCTACATACAATACTAAATATAAAGACGAGAGTTTTTTGTTTTCTACATGGAGTTCATTGGAGAATTTTGTATCTGTATTTTGACTTACTTCCACACATAATTGAGTAAACTACCACATTCAGTGCTTTGGGAGAGGCAAAGATATATAAAACATAAATCCTATCCTAAAGGAACTCTTAATCTAATAAAAGAACTGTATATAGTTAACTAATGCAAAAGACATTAGAAAAAGAGGAATAGATAACTTCCAGTTGGGATCCTCAGGGAGGGCTGGTAAAGAAAGCTAAGTGGTGAAGCAGCAAGGACCCATTTTTCAGGCTCAACTGTCCAGAATTTTAGATACTTGTTAACATTCATCATATGGGATCAGGTAAGATGTAATTGCTTTAGTTTTGGCAATTATATGTTATTGTTATACTATTGTAAATAAAAATATTATTTTCCTCTAAGATAAGTTTTATAAGAAGTGTTTGCTTCTATATATTATTTTATTGTTCTCTGCAGTTTTAACTGCATTATTCATTTTTGTGAGTCTTGACAGAAACCACAATTGATTAATAGGGGAAAATAATTAGTAACACACTGGGCAGTACAAAGACTCTCTATAAAATTTTCTCCCCAAAGACTTGATTTACTTATTAAACATCAGTATTCAAAATATCAAATGTTTGAACACATCGGTAATAGCAGAAAATATTGGTGCTGTATGTTTTTTTACAAAGGACCAACCTACTGCTTTTTAGAGTCTGGTGGTAGTGGTTTGTTTTCACATCCAAAATCAAATGTCCAGAACAAAATTCAAATCTCCTTGACACCTAAACAATACAATGTTGCGTTAGTTTGTAGGCCAAAGAGCAATGCGCCCAGGGCAGCCTGGCCCCACTTTCACAGTTGACTGCCGACTTCAGTTCATATTATGTAAACACGCATTGCAAAAGAGCTCTGATGGTAACTGCATAACCTAAATAGTATTTTCTGAAATGGAATTTGTTGTCTTTTTATATAATAGAAATTAAATCAAAAATTTTTTGAAGCAAAAGAACACTGGGATTCTGTTTAATTGAATTTTGCCGGGAAATGCTATTGCCTACTAGCATTGACCCCAGGGCAGAAAGAAGCTGGAGTCCATCATTTGCAGGGTCAAACTTTTCATGTGACATATCAAGTCACTCAAGTGACTGATGCCTCTGTCACATCAGGCCACAAGGAGCCCTTCCTAGTGTTCTGATCCTAGAGAGCGGAATATGCTAATGCTACTCCATGTTAACCCAAAACGGAAAATGATAGTCCGTTTTGGACAGTAAACTATTGTGAACTCCCCCCTCTAAGAACATCTCAGAATGTATGTGACACTTCAGGTAAGTGTAGCCCCATGGCAGAGAGCTTGGTGTCATAATCTTCCAGAGCTGTTTAGGGCAATAAAGAGCTCTAATTTTCTGCCTACCTTAAGTAAAATTCCTTTTTATCCCAGTATCATTTTTCTGTATTCCCAACTCTTCTGCAAAGGTAAAATAAAGCTGTCTTTTTAAGAGATTAAAAACTTCTCCATTCTTATTCATCTCAGGCCACAAATCATGGGATTGGGGTAGGGATTGTAAAGAGCACACACTTTCCAGATTTGTTCTTTGGCCTGCTCTTGATCCCAAGTGATCCAATTATGTTTGATCATAGCAGGCACTTAATATACACCTGTTTAGTTAATCAATTAATTAATGAGGCAGGATTCTACTTTCATAGAAAACAACATTAATTACAGTTCTCTAAGATTTTATTCCATAACCACCACCACAACAAAATTGTTTCAATCAGGTTCAGGATTAGTCCCTTAGTGAATATTTAAGTACTTACTGGCTATCAGACCCTGAGCTAAGCATGGAGAATATGGTGATGTGCTTATACACATAGTGGACGTGGTCCCGGCAGTTTAGCACCCTTTGCCCACCTTCCTGAGCACTGGCAGCTGGTCACTTTCTGGAAGCACCACTGAACTGCCAGACATCGGCCCTTTCCTGCTGCCCTATCCCTCGAGGGCTGTGATGTAGCCACATCATACATGTTTTCAAGGGACAATGTAGCATAGTGGTGCAGTAAGTACAACTTTGTAAAGTGAACCAGGTTTGACCAGGATAAAACTTTGAAATCCTAGGATAATTATCACATAAAATTATATAGACATTTGGACAAAAACTGGAAGGGGCTATATAGGAGAATGAACATGGTGACCTGTTGAAGTAAAGGGACTCAAGGGGAATCATTTATGTTGTTAATTTATTATTTGCATGACAAATATTCTAAAAGGATGTCTTGGATAAATCATGGGAAAGACATAGAAATAAATCTACACTCAACCCATGAAGTAAAGACCAACATACAATGAACCTTTGGAATAGGTAAGAGATCTTTGGGTATAGTGGCAGATCCCAGTTTTGTGGGGCTTGAAGCTTACAGGGCTTGGAGTTCCCTCTTATGGAAAAACATCCAAAATTAGAAAGATGCCCATACAAGTGAGGAGCCCTCACTTTAGCTTCTTTAGTTTTAAGGTTAATCATCTACAAACTGCTCCTGGGGGTGGGGAATTTAGAAGGCTGAACGAGGTGTAATGAAGAAAAATTGGCAGCACTCTGATATGTCAAACCGAGTTTCTCCACTAACTTTTAAGAACCACAGCTTTGGACAAAAGTCCAAATCCACAGTACCAAATCTAAGCTTTGATTTCTGTAAGAGTCTCATTGAATTTAGCAAAATAACATGGGGGTAAAAATTCATTAATGGTTAATCTAGGATCAAGAATAGGGCATTTTTCTTCTTTATATGATAGAGTTTTTACC